GTTTTTCGTTGGCACAGGGGCGGAGCAAAGATGGGGTGACCCGTTTGCTATGAAGCTGAAACTAAGACTACCAGACTACCAGACTGAAATACTTTAGGTAGATTTTGAACTCAAAATTTTTGCATTAGGCTACTCTTTTTCGATTTCCAACTGCCGATGGATTCTTTACGTGCGCAACACTACACACGGGCGTCAGAGCTTACTAGCAAGAGATCAGGGAAAAATACAATCTATTCTTAGATTTCTTTAAATCTTACCCGGTTTGTCGCTAACCAATGCTTATCGCTTGTTATCAATCAACCAGATACCATCTGTACGCGATCTGGTCTTGCTAGTCAGACTCACCATCGCCAAGCGCTGGGATTCTCATGTCTCACTATAGCCAAATGAAATCCTATTATCTGGAAATAAGAAAAAAGTTCAAACAACAAATAGACTGCGATCCTAATCACGGCATGAAAGGTTGATGGTTTTGAAGATTCAGATGATGACATCTGTTAATTATTTGTCCGCTGATAAAAATGTTTTCTGTGACAGCTGAACCAGCTTGGGACTACATAAATCATAGTCGTACTCTCGTTGAACAGTTTTTCAAATATGGGCCAGTTAAGGACATAACAATTGATTTTAACTGGCACAGAAACGGAGAAAATACCGGGTGACCTGACTCACGGCCTTCTCTATTTTTAATATCGATGATATTATAATATCGATTTGTAATACGAATACATTCAGAACTCTGAACTTTGTAAGCACGTTAAAATGTCACACAATGCAAAATGGAAACGCTTCCAGTAACCAGTTTTCGAGGGGACTCCGCCAAAATGTACCGTGATTTAGTCAGAAGGACCTATATACAGAAGGACCTGCCTGACTGTAGTGAAGTTGAAACCTCTACTAAACTGTTCTCTCTCTGTCTCTGACTCTCTCTCTGTCTCTCTCTCTCTCTCTCTCTCTCTCTCTCTCTCTCTCTCTCACACACACACACGCTCACAAGTTTTTTTTTCTTCTTTCTTTTTCATAACTTCTTTAGAAAAAATCTGACTTGCTAGTTTAGTCAATATTAGCCAAACCGGCTTGGAGTTGAGTAGCTTGGGGACCGGTTATTGGTGATTGAGTTAACTAACACAGAGCACACGGAAAACTGGAGCTCATTAAAAGATGTCAGTGTGTTTATTAAAAGGATCATTTAAGAAAATTACTATTTGAATAGAGAGGAGAAAAACAACTACTCCTTTAAATGTATAGTATTATATTGAATTACTTCTTCTTCTTCTGCGTTCGCCTTTTAAAGTGCTGTCAGATGTTTTTTATTATTTATAAGCTGGGCTGCGATTCTGCACCTCTAGGTCCAATATACATCTTATTTCAGCAAAAACCTAATTAGTTGTCTTTTACAACATGCTTGCTAGAAGCATTAGATCTATCCCATTCCTCATTCCCCTAGATGGGGCTTAGCAACCAGTTCCGGGTATTTAAGGATATAATACAATTTTTTAAACACTCTGTCTACAGGTCCCGTCCTATGAATCCCACTTAGCTTGTTAAGATATTTCACCAGTTTGTGCACTGTATGGCTATCTACAACACATGGTATAATATTAATATGAACTAAACAAAAGTAACAGTTATAAAAATAATATGCATTGCAAACATGAATTATTTAAAAATGCATCTGACTGTTTATTGATTGTACTGTAGACACGATCCGTGTCCTCAGATATTGCATTTATTTCCGTACATGAATACTTCGTTTATCTGATTCTGTAACCGCTGTGTATCTATCTCTTAACAGCAGCGATTTTTGCGCCTTTCGGGTCAACACAAGTGACCTTTTCAAAGCACTTTTGACCTGGTTTGCCTTTCCGGGTCATCGACAGTTTAATAATGCAGGGAGTATATATATGGTCACCCTAAACCAGGGTTGGCTATTTGGCACTTTATATGCCAAATTCTGTATATTTTGCAGTTTTGGAAAGGTAGGTAGGTAGTTGTACCCCCACCAGGACATCACACAAGCGATAAACACCCAGTGACACAAAGTGCCACCATGCGGATGAGGGGCACCCGCAGAGAGGTCCCAGAAACCCCTTTCAGCCGTTAGGCCATATCTATGGCTAGGCCATATCTATGCCCCGGTTATATTCAGGGCCCCCCGGAAATAGCCAGGGTGGGGCTTCAAAATCCTACTAGGCGACGACCTTACTGTTAGTAGTTTTGGAAAGTGACTGGCTGAATTGTTGTAATTCTAAACAATTGTTTTGTTTTCAAAAGCAAAGTGAATAAATACGTTGTAATGTGACGAATGTATGCCAGGAAATGTTGATTAGGAACATCCACCAACGTAGGAATTATATGTGCCAGGACACAGGAAAAAGATATTGCATGCACGAGAAATGGATGAGTTCAGGATAGGGTTACACCTGGAAAGCAACATATGCCAACTGAAACCAAGGGCGATAAAACAGAGCTGACGGAGCCAAGTAAGGAATGCAGAAAGGCAGCCACCCATAATGGGGTCAATGCCTAGGTCCTATGAGATTAGTTATGGGGCAAGGGGCGTGTTCAAGATAGCAGACGGTACTGATTGTTGGTGGAGTAGCATCTAGACGCTCGCCTACAACTCGGAAGGTCGTGGTTTCGGGTCCTGTCGGGACCGAACTTTTTTTTTTTTTTTTTTGAACAAGATTAACCAAAAAAAAAAAAAAAGTTAAATATCACAGTATGTCTACATATTCATATTTAAATATACGCTAGCAAACGTTTCTACCAAGCTTTTTTTTTTAATGTCCTTCTTTTTTTTTCAATTCAACTGCCAACTATACTTAACAGAAATATTGATCAATAAAGAGCATACAGATGACAGAAAACAATAAAAAAATGAAGGTCGTGGTTTTGGGTCCTGTCGCGACTGGATATTTTTTTTTCAAAAACGACATTGGCTCTTTTGTCAACACCGCTTTGAGTGGGTATAAGGTGCCGTCTCTGGGAAGTAAAGGTGGGCGGTGTGCTGATGACCACGCCATTTACCATGTGCGGATTGGTCTGTAAAATATAGATCTAGTTCTATATGCCAAATGCGCCTTGAAGTTTGAACATCGGATCAACATCATGGCACACATATAGTAACCCACAAGTGCTCCGTTCTTTTTCTAGCTCAGTCTGTCCGAAGAAGCTCAGCACAAGCTCTGTAGCACCAACGAGAATCCTGAAATGCTTTGGGTAGATTTTTATCAATCCAGCAGGAGCAAATCCCAGATACTCCGAGGATCCTCGTAAGATGTTTTTTATTGGGAACCCGTCGGCTACACCCAGAACTACTTTGAAGCAAAAAATACGCCATTTGGAAGTGACAGGTTCGATTCCCGACACGGTAACTATAGCTTACGATTGTTATGTTGTCCAGTGTGTTCTTCTATCTTTCTACTTCTTTCTATGAGTGGCAATCAATACATTGTTTGTTTGTTTATTACATTTAATACTTTGAAGCAAGCGCGCCACCAGAGATGAAATATTGGGGTTCAGTGCGCCCCCCCCCCCCCAATAATTTGCTAGGGCTGAGGAGGTCTCAGTTCTTGTTTTATTGCGCAGTAATAACAATAATACCTTTTATTAGGATTGTTCCTACTGTAAAAATTCAACAAGGTTTATCCTTTATAGCCCCTATAAAATTATTGCAGGAGTTTTGTTCCTCTGCAGTAATTGTTGGATTTCCAGATTTGCCTCATCCTTCCAAAAGCAGCTCTAGCTTTGTTCAGACGTGACTGTATGTCTTCCTCTGTCCCTCTCAGTAGGGACACCACACTGCCAAGATATGTGAAATGTTCTACATTTTCAAGTGATTGGTTACTTATGGTCACTGGTTGTTGGTTTGGACTGTTTGTCATGATCTTAGTTTACTTTGTATTTATTCTCAGTCCTACAATTTCTGCTGTGCAGTTTAGTTTGTTACTTTTCTCTTGTATATGTTCATGTTTATGTGATAGGAGTGCTATATCATCTGCAAAATCAAGGTCCTCAAGCATGGTGAATAGAGTCCATAGTACGCCTCTTAATGTCCTGTCTACTGTGTTCTTTAGTATCCAATCAATCACAACGTTGAAGAGGAGAGATGACATAACACATCCCTGTCTTACACCTGTCTTTACTGGGAAGGATGTATTGTAATTTTTTATAATGCAGGAAAAGTCTTTATAGAAGAGAGCAATTATGTTGACAATTTTTTCTGGAATTCCATAATGTCGTAAAATTTTCCACAGACCGTCTCTATTGACGCTGTCAAAAGCTTTCCCAAAGTCCACAAAATTAATATATATACTTCTCTGCCATTCGTTGCATTGTTCTAAAATGTTACGTATGGCGAAGATGTGCTCAGTTGTTCCTCTGCCCTTTCCGAATCCTGCTTGTTCCACTTGTAGGCATTTATCTACTCCTTTTTCAAGCCGCATTATGATGATTTTACAAAATATTTTGCTTGATATTGCATAAGACATAGGCAGTTCAAAATCAGCCTTATTGTAACTGTCCACGATTCGTAGTTGAATAAGAAATGAATGCCGTCATTTCTGTTTTCAACTCATCTCATCTTAGTCCTCTTGTGCCTTGCAGTAAATGACACCTTCAGGCGTATTGGACACATAATGCTAAGCCTATATTTTAGAGACCAATCGGCACTTGGTGGATAATTAGTCAACATCCCGGCTTCCACTTTTCTTCCCAGGACTTTACCTGGTACCCGTGTAAGGCTGGCGCCTTGTGATAAGCCGTTTGCACTATATACTCCTTTGAATTTCTGTTTTATTTATTTTAATATTCATCCTAATTTGTTTTTAAAGACATTTATTTAGCCTGTATGCCAGTACTTCCTATTCTTCCCCAACAGCACAGAGCACCTGGCCGCGGCAGATTTAGCTACTAGCCAAAATTGTTGCCAACGGTGGCCAAGTCCAACAAGATTTTACACAGCGCTCTTTAGATAGCCAGCGCAATAAACACACACAATGGTGAGGACGCTATTCAATTTCGCCTTCGACGGAGATAAAACAAATTGACTATTTTATCTTACTTTATTAGTTTGATGTTAATTAAATATTCAGTTGCCACAGTGGATTCTTTTTTATATATTTTAAACTTCTTTTATCTTGCGGATGTTTGTCGACTTTAATATTGAGTCAAGTGACCAGTTTTCGACTGTGTTCTTTTACAAGTTTACGCCTCGTGATATTGATAATTCGGTGCGAAATCCTTATTTGTCTCTTAGTTAAAACGACAAGTTTGATGTAGCATTTTTTGGACTTGACCTTAGCAATATAATAATATGAATAATTAACAAGTGTTTATGTAGTAATTGTCAGTTTACATAGCTAATTAATAACTCTGTGAAAGTGACCGAGCCACCCACACGACACACTGACAGCCGGCAAGCACTGCACCAATGATTGCGGGAAAAAGCATCGCATCGACTGAGCAGATATCGTCAACGCTGTACGAACTGGGCTAGTGGAGAATGAGGAGTCCCTGACACTAACACGATTGCGTGACATGGGCGTTAAGCATGGTGATGAACGTCTTTTCCGTCTTCGGGGCCGAGAAAGGAGACGATATAACCAGCTTCTCATGGGGAAAATTAGTAGAAGTAGAAGTACTTTGGAGTGGCTGCTGCTTCGGAGAACTGAGCACGCATGGGTATGTGCAGTGACATCAAGTGTGATAACAAAACATAAAATAACATCTTGTAGAGAGTCGGCAGTCCGAAACCCAAATTCAATGTGTCTCCTTCGTGCCAAAGAACTGCATGGCTGTTGGGTGAACAGTCGTTAACGAAGGCAGGCAGATCGTTGTAGGGGTGACGCCTGCTAGTGGATGTAATGTCCTAAGTCCCTTCCCCAGCTAATAATGAGGGTACTGTTTGGGTGACCGTTTATTAATCCTCATATAATGCTTCTGGTCAAAATGCACGCTAGGCACAGCCACCCTTTTTCTTTTCTGCCAGACTGTGGCCGTTGCATTTTTGCTCCATTTGTAGACTGAAAGGATATAGTTTCGTCGCCCGGCTTCTGAGTTGAGTGCATGGTGTGACACTGTGAGCTACGTGTGTTTTCCGTGACAGGAACGGAGCAACTATGGAGTGACCCGTTTGCTATGAAGCTGAAACTAGGATTACCAGTGACAGCCGGCTCACCTGCGAACTTCGTCCCCATATTACGGCGGCAAAACAAATATCCTAAAAGTCGTGTATAAATGCGGAGTGCCTGCCGAGGAACAAATCACGGCAAAACTAGGATTGCCTCCGAATAATGGGCCAATATTATTGAGGGCAAACAGCAAAGGCTATCCTCCGAATAACGGTCCCAAATTATGGAGGCCAAAAATATACCCCAACAGGTCTCTCGCTATCTCACTTCCCCTCTAACAACTTTCCTTTAAAGTTTACTACAGATATACTTTATTTGGATTCCGTAAAAACAGTGGTACTCGAGAGGCCACAATTTGTCTAAAGATGCTGACTGAAAAATATATAGAAGTTCAGAAAAATATTTACGCATGTTTTATAGATTACAAAAAAGCTTTCAACAGAGTGCAACATGAACAACTAATTGCAGCTCTTCAAAACATATTATTAGAAACTTATACTGTGAGCAAGAAGCAACAGTAAGATATGACAACATCTGCTCACCCCAGATAGAGATCAAGAGAGGAGTAAGACAAGGATGTGTGCTGTCGCCTAGCCTTTTCAACTTATGTACAGAAACCATTTTTAAAGAAATTGTAGAATTACCAGGACTGAACATCAATGGTAGAATAATAAACAATCTGAGATATGCGGCCGACACAGTGTTGCTAGCAGATAGTGAGCAGGAGTTACAAGATCTAGTGGAGCAAGTAAACAAAAGGAGTGCAGAATTTGGATTAGATATAAATTTGAAAAAGACAAAAACCATGATATTTAGCAAAGAAAATAATCAGCTAACAATGAATATCACAGTAAACGGGGTGAAATTGGAACAAGTTAAAAATTGCTTATATCTTGGACAATTAGTAATAACATGTGACGGCAGAAGTCAAGAAAAGAATAGGGATGGCCAAAAACATTTTCAACAACATGCAAAAGTTACTGACATCAAGAGAAATAAGCAATGCATTAAAAATGAGAATTGTCAAATGTTATGTATTCTCAACCTTACTGTATGACACAGAGACATGGACAATGAACAAACAACTGGAAAATCGTATCAATTCTTTGGAAATGTGGATATACAGAAGATTAGGTCGTATTTCATGGAAACAAAAGCTATCAAATACAGAGGTACTGAGGAAATTAGGAATGAAAAGAGTTGCTAGGTGAAATAAAAAAGAGACAAGTGAAATGTTGTGGTCACATTAAAAGACATAACAGTATTGTAAAGATCATCCTAGAGGGAAAGGTTCAAGGTAGGCGAGCAAGAGGCAGACAGCGTTACAAGTGGGAGGATAACACCAAGAGATGGATAAACAGCAGTATGAGCGAGTGTACATCAAGGGCAAGAGACAGGGCTTGTTGGAGATCCATTGCAGCCAACCTTCATTGTGGAGACGGCACTTGATTGATTGACAGATATACTTTATGCATGCCCTCTGACTAAACATACAATTTAGCAGCACAATTAATTATTTGTTGACTGGTACATTACCATATTAATAATTATTAAGTCCGGTCACAAATAGTGCATTTCCTTGTTTGGGACTGAAAACGCCAACCACTTAACCTCAAGTCCCTTTCTCTGTCTAGTGATTACGATATTGAAAAATGGTTGTCATGTTTTCCCAGGATGTGTTCTTGATGATCCGCCGCAAGAAATGCACCATTTTCACTGATGCAAAGGAGAGCACTACTCTGGGAGAGGTGAAAAAAATCATTGAGGGCATCTTGAAAGTAGCTCCTGAAAATCAGCGGCTGTACAAAGATGATACTGTAAGTAACCCAAATTCTTTGTTGCCCCTATTTTGTTTATTGTAAACATGTTTTAATAAATTGTTATGTATAGGCTAAGTTCAACATGCAGAAGATATATATATTATCAGACAAGACTAGGAACAACACCAGGCAGCAAGTTTATTGAGAAACAAAAGATTTAATGATTTGGTCATTTAGTAAGAAGGCCCTATGTATTTTTCACAAATGTACAATAATTATATGTGTATAAATGGGATTTTTGTGTTTTATATACACTTTTTATGACTTGTTTGATTTAAAGTAATGTTGAAAAATATAAATTAGACTTTTGACCTGTTTATCTGAATGGAACACAGCCCCTTGTTTGCTCGTTTATTCTAAGCATTCTTTTTTTCTTCCTCCCATTACCTCATCGAAGAGGGATCTGCTCTTGATGCTGCTGTTCAGTCTTTTGCATGATCTTCCTCTTGTGTGTCCATTTTATTTCTTCAGCATGGCGCTCAGTAACCCGTAGTGCCAGGGGCATCCTCGCCAGATAGTGAAACCATCTTTTTCTTTTTTTTTTCATCATCCAGGCCAGTAGGTTTAAGATAAGGCCTGTCACATGCCTCTGTGAAATCTGTAGTGCGACATGCGTCTTCAAATGTTCCATACAACTTGGGCATTCCTTTGGAATACCAACTGGCCAAACCTGGGATGTCTCTACTGCATGTATCTGTGTAGCACAACTTTCTGTGGTGGCTGTCCACATGATCAAAGTTCGGAGTCCCCAATCTTGAATCTCTTGTACCTATGGCTACAGAGTAAAACCATCTCATCTGTTGATCTTCAATAAACTGTATAACTTGTTTGTTTCAGGCCTAGTCTTCTCTTTGATTTATTTTATCTCTTCTTATTACTCCAGCAGTTATTCTAAGCATTTAAGTGACAAAATTGTTTCTCAACAGCCAATGACAGATGAGAATAAGACATTGTCAGACTACGGGTATACAAGCACAGCTGCCAGGGCTCAGTCTCCTGCTACCATAGGACTCGTCTTTAAAACAGAAGGTACATAATTGCTCCATTATTTATTATCTACCCATGCTGGTTTTGGGGCCCGTATTTTGGAGAATGAAGAATAGAGCCACTGTTGCCCTGACAAGCAAGTCATAGGAGGAGACTCATTGAAGCTGTTTCCTTCAAAGTCTAGAGTGCATCTGCCTGAGAGGCAAGGGCCAGAAGTCTGCATACGAATAAGTCAGAATTCTGGATCAAGACCAGAGTCCAGGAATGGACGAACAACCAGACTTTTCCAACAGAGTTTACAGCTGGCAAACACTGAGAGAAAATCCATGTAAAATATATAAATAGAGCCACTGATTCTTAACAAGAGTGACGTAAAAGGTGACTAATTAAGCATTTGCCTGAAATCGGATGTGCTGGGCCAAAAGGCACAGATTTTGCAGCCTAGCTGTAAACCACAACACATTCTAACTACCCATTAAAGGCATCACAGAAAAAGTATTAAACTATTACTTTGCAGAGCTGGGGGGTGGGGGTTATTCAATGTTTTTGCCCATTGAGATTGGTTTGTCTCCAGTTGTGGTCTAGATTATTTTTTACCAGTACAGCTCTGAAATCAATCCAGCCTTGTAAAAATGGGTACCAGGCAATTTCCAGGGTGGCCGACATTAAGGTTTTCGGTTCGGTTCCACATTGGGCCTAATTAAAAGAAAATTTTTTTTTTGCTCGCAGCAACTCAACCTAAAATTGGTACCAGGTAAAATCCTTAAAGCAAAGATCACCTACTGAGTTCTGATTAGTCATTTACAATAGTAAATATGACATAAAACATGACTATTTAGGTAGCTGGGGGGGGGGGGGAGATGAACGTTTTGGCCAAAGTCTTTATCGACGGAGCTGTGCATATACAAAACAAACTTTGTATATGGAGAACTCAATGGACAGAACAACAGAGCTTCTAACAGCCAATATGAAATTTAAAAAAATATGTGAAGATGGGGAACAAATCTGGACATGAAGGGACAGATTATAAAATAAGTAAGCGGGCGCTTGGGGGGAAAAAAAGGGAGAAACGTAAACAAAAATAAATAAATAAAATATAGCTGTGCTAGGTATTGACACCTCCAGAACTAAGATCAGTAGGTATTGACACCTCCAGAACTAAGATCTGTAGGTATTGACACCTCCAGAACTAAGATCAGAACTGTAAATGAAATGATTTTAAAATACAGTAGACAATATCCAGCCTAATTAAGCGTGAGCGGGCAGGCTGTTTAAAAAAAAACCCCAGATATGCCGGAGTTCTATAAGTACTCAGTTTCTACCCTACCTATATCATATAAATACCCCTTTTATAGCTAAACCTGCTCTTATTCGTATTTTCTGACTTTTTAGTACAGGTAAGTGACTTATAAATATTTACTGCATATTGTACTGTACATGTTGAACATTTTTTGCGGAAAAAGGAAATCCAAAAGTAAAAATAGTGTTCACATTTGAATGTCAGACTTAACTACAGAAAAAATAAATTTGTGTACAGTATGAACACGCACATTTAAAACGACCAAAACAAGTTTATTGTTTTCATCTTCCAATTTCGTTTCACATATTGATTGGTTCATTGTTGAAATGTCCACCTTCATGATTTGAACAGAATTGTCCAAGACCTTAAAAATTATATTCTTGGAATCTCTTCCCACGCTTTGTACACCTACCTTATGATATCTGGCATGCCAGTCTTTCTTCAGGGTGGTTACGTAGTCTTTATTATTACCAGTCACTGATATCAGAATACCCAGAGGATGCTGACAATACTTTTTCTTTAGTATTTTAAGGATGTCCTGGTCCATCGGCCGGAACAGTCGTCATAGTAGTTAATAAATTACGTTATTTTTATAGCTAGACCGGATACTACGAAGTCCAGATAATTGTGAATCAGATAATCAAGGTTCTGCTGTAATAAAATTTTAGTCTGGCATGATGCACTCTAAATTTGAAAGAAACCCCTAATTAGGAGACTCTTGTGACGTGCTTGTTGGGGAGGGCAGTGGGTCTGATCCTCCGCCCCCACCACAATAGGGCTCCGGAGCCCACACAGGGAGCTTGGGAAGTAAAGATGATTCCCATGATTTTGACCATATTACCCACTAAGTGCCAGTTGGTCTACACAAAAATAACGTAAATAGGGGGCAACTGCAGTCGAGCTGATTGCAAGAAATGTAAATATAAGTGTCTAGAAAGTCACTGCTATTAAATCTGGCTCATGTGATCCAACCAGCCACACTACTCATTAGAAAATAGATTCATCCATAGTTTTGGCGTTCTTAGTCCTAGAGATGTCAATATTCTTCTTCTTCTTCACTTCCTCTTTTACCGCTGTGGGTGTCGAGGGAGATATAAGGTTCTGTTTCTAGCTCTTCTGGCTGCCTCGACCATAGGCACATTGTGCTGTTGTAGAGTTTCACTGATGTTATCCTTCCATCTAGTTCTTGGTCTACCCCGTGCTCTACTTCCTTCTTCTCTTTCCATGTATGCTTTGTATGGTATGGTGTCACAAGGCATTCTCTCTAAGGAGGCAAACCATTTCACTTGCTGTCTTTGTATGTATTCCAGAATTGGTTCTGTGCCGACTTGTTCTCTTATGATCCCATTCCTGATCTTATCTCTTATGGTCACTCCTACAGCCCTTCTCAGACATCTCATTTCCGTGGTTACTAATTTTCTTTTATGGTTTGTTGTGAGTGACCTGGTCTGGCACTGGTAGCACAGAGTTGGAATAAATATGCTTTGAATAAGATGTCTCTTTGTGCTGATTGGGATTGTCTTATGCTGTAAGAGGGGAGCTAGCTGTCCCAATACTTGGTTTGCTTTACTGCTTCTAATGTTAATTTCTTTATCCGATTTCCCATCTTCGGTAAATGTAGTTCCCAGATATTTAAACTCAGATGCCTGTTTAATGCCTTTGCACTCTATTGCTGTTTAGATTTGTCTTCTTTTTTCCTATTGACATTACTTCTGTCTTTTCAGTGTTGATTCTCATATTATTTGTTTTACATTCTTCATTCATGGATGTTAGATGTTGTTGCAATTTCATGGCTGTATCTGCTATCAAGGCCTGGTCATCTGCAAAGAGTAATTCGTTGATCTTACTAAGATCTTCATCCATGGGCTTGGCATTCTTGCATATACTGTCGATGTAGGTGATAAACAGCAGTGGTGATAAGACACACCCCTGTCTTACTCCAGATGTCACTGTGAAAGGATGAGATGTTCCCTGATTTATTCTAACTACACTTCTACAATCCCTGTATAAACTTTTGCACACTTCGATGAGGTGTTCGCTTACTCCATATCTTGCCATTACTTTCCATAATAATTGTCTGTCGACTCTGTCAAATGCCTTCTCCTGGTCTACGAATGCCACAACTAAGTTCTTATTGTATTCAATGTTCTTTTCTATTAACTGTTTAAGTGTGAAGATTGCATCTGTGCAGCTTCTATTTCTCCTAAATACCATCTGTTCTTCTGCCAGCTGTGGTTCTATCACTGGTCTCAGTCTTGTTTCTATTATCTTGGCATACATTTTGCCAACATGGCTTAAAAGAGAGATGCCTTGATATTGACAGCATTCTCGTTTGCTTCCTTTGTTCTTCCACAATGGTATAACTATTGCATGTTGCCAATCAATAGGGGCCGTTTGTTGTACCCATGCTGCATTGAATATTCTGTGAAGCCATCTGATGCTGCTTGAATTATTTCTGTTGGTAATCTATCAGCTCCTGGTGCTTTATATTTGGGAGACTGTTTAATGACTTTTTCTTTTTCATCCATTAGTATGTGTGGTTCTAACACTGTTGCTCTGTGCTCTTCAGTTGTTCTTTCCTGATGATCTCCCAGAGGATTAAAGAGCTCATTGAAGTATTCCCTCCATCTTTCTGTTATCTCGGGTGGATCTATCAATGGCCTTCCTGTCTTATCATTAATTATTTCAGTGGGGTTGTAGCTCTCATCTCTTTTCCGCATATTTTTAACTACTTTGAACAATTTTCTGCTGGCTGTTTTCTCATTTTCTGCTAGTGACTTACCGAAACGTTCCCAGGATGCTTGTTTTGCTTTCTTGACACTCCTGTTGGTTTCTCTCCTTTGCAGTCTATAGTTTATATAATCTTCTTCTTTCTTTGATTTTATCCACTGTTAATATGTCTTTTTTCTTTTTAATTGCTTCTTTTACTTCTTCGCACCACCAAGGTGAATATTTGTTTTTTCCCCGTCTGTTTCCACTCTTCCGTTTTCCACATAATTTTTCTGCAATACTAAGCATAGTTTTTTTTTAATATTTACTCCATTCTTCCTCAATATGCCAACTACATGTGGAAGTTGTTTGAATGCTGTCTCTACTTTCTGTTGTAATTGTTTTTTTAACTCCTTCCAGTTTCAGATTAGCTATCTTGATGAAATCCTTGTTTTTGTTTAATTTCTTTCTGTGTTTCTTTAATGTAAGATGTTTTGCTGTTAACACAACTATTTTATGGTCAGTGTCACATAGACCATTAGGGATTGCTCTTGAGTCAATATTCAACACAGCTTTATTTTATTTATTTACTTGCTCATTTATTTATTTTATTCATATTTCACCCCCTCTTTTTACATACACCTTTTTACTTATTTTGTTTTGTATTGTCACCCTTCATATTCATATCCCACCCCACCCCCAATATGTGCTTCTTGGTTTCATGTTTCATGCTTAAAAAAAAAAAAATTAGCTCTGCTGTCTTGTTTTGAGTTTTCCAGTCACAGTTTATGCTGTATTTAGTACTCATCAAAACATTTGGTTATGTTTGTATATGTCTTTTTTCCATTCCACCCGTTGAGCTTTTGAGTCACATTTTGTGTTCCATATAACATTTCTGACAAAAATATTTGTCTAGCATTAACTCTTTGAGTCCCAGAAGGTTTAGAATCACAGGCCCAGAGGGTAGTAAAAAGAGTTACAAAATCGGTGCATCATGCGTTCATTGGGCTTCTAGGTAGAGGAACCTATGAACGTATGATGCGTTCCTTGGGACTCAAAGAGTTAAATGTCTGATGCACTATTGGCTTAATAATTTCTTTTCACACTGTTGCCTTTCTGTTTCAGATGGTGAATGGGAACCACTCGAGATAAATCCATTATCCTGTCCCCCTGAACTCCCAGATGTCATGAAACCACAGGATTCGAACCAGACACACCAGCCAGAAGCCAATGCAGTGTGAATTTTCCTCAGTTTGTTGGTTATTTGTATCTAGGGCTATTCTTTCTTTCCAGGCGGTTTACTTTGCCAATGTTACATGCGCAGTTTGATAGTTTATTTAGGCCCGTCATTGTTTGCACCTTGCTTCTCAGCTTTTTGAGGTAACATCACAAAGAACATATGGGGAAGAGCAGGGCAAATGAAACAGATAATTAAAAAAAATCATATAGAACATAGGGGAAAGAGTAACTGATATGCTGGTATCATCACATAAAACATAAGGGAAAGAGTAGATGGAAAATAACAGATGTGTTAGTATCACATATAACATATGCTAACATCATGTAGAACATAAGAGGTGAAGCAAGGTAGAGTGTCACATACAACATATGGGGAAGAGCAGGGGCAGGGGGAAAAGTAATGGATGTTTACTGCCGTGCCGACATCATACTGATGTAGAACATCAGAAAAAGAATAACGTAAGCATTTAGTCACAGGCGTGCGTACATCTAGAAAATAAGAAGCTGAAAAGAACATCTTTGACATTTGGCCTTGCTCTTTCAGCAACAGAATACTGGCTTATGATAACATATAGGCATAATAAAATATGTAAAATATAGTGAAGAAGTGGTTAAGATTAGGTTAACAATCATTGTTTAGTGGATTTTTTCCCTGTGGGTTACAGTTTTAGAGAGGCTGTTTTTCATCCCATTTTGACAAACCTCCTGAGAATAAATCAGGTCACTAGCTAGCAATGTTTTGCTATCACCGTCCAAGAATAAATCAGTCAATAGCTAGCAGAGCTTTATCACCGCCATTCAAGAATAAATCAGTCAACAGCTAGCAGAGCTTTATCACCGCCTTTCAAGAATAAATTAGTCAATAGCTAGCAGTTCAAGAATCAGTCAGTGAATGCATTCTTTGAGGTGCCTTTGAAACAGAATACAGCTGCTATCTAATGGTGTATTCGTGTATGTAAAACACCACATTTCCATAATTCTGTTCACATGCAGTCACTGCGAGGCAAACATGACAAGAAAGCAACATATGTAAAGTCATTCTAAGCAACTGTGTAAAGGACAAGATTGATCTAAAATAAGCACTTAACATTTTTGATTGATGTAAACATATGTTTAAAAATGTATCTACAAGCTTGTTTAAATTGCCATCTCTGTATGCCAGTACACCAACCTAAGCGTCGTGCTGCACTTTGACAAATACAGAATGGTGAACACTTGGCAGTGCTGCCGTCTAGGAGATGTGTGTATTATGGCAGAAGGATAATATCACTGTATATCAATTTACACATATTGATTGGCACTCATAGAAACCAATATAGCAGCGGTTCTCAACCTGTGGGTCGCAACACCTTTGGGGGTCACAGGGGTCACCTAAGGCGATCAGAAAACACATATTCACTGAAGTTATGAAGTAGGAACAAAAAATTTATGGTTGTGGGTCACCATGAAATGAAGAACTATGTTGAAGGCTCGCTGCATTAGGAAGTGTGAGAACCACTGACATAGAGAATACACTAGACCAGGCATGCGAAACTGGCAGTGTTCTTATACTTCTTCTTGTGTTCACTTTCTGATTTACCCAGACAGACAAGTTCTTGTGATAAACTTCACTGTTTTTACGAGAAACATACAGCTTTGAGTGCAGTGTTGACTCATTGGGCCAGTGTTCTTATCATTGCAGGGTTACAGGTTCATATCCCAATAAGGTTAACAGGTTGTGAATTTTGTGCTGTCTAGTGTGTGCTCCTCTGTGGCCTACGCCTTGCGAACGCACTTCATAGTGTCGGGTTCGATCCAAGCTGCGGACTATTTGTCTTGCGGTAATTTGGATAGTTGTACAGAGAGCTGACTGTTCAGGAAGCAGTGGCAAACTACTGGATGTAAAAATTTGTCTAGAAAAACCACAAAATGCTGGGGTTGGTTCTGCAACATCCTGTAAAGGATACGCAACTAACTAAGTGTGTGCTTCTTTCCTCTGCTTCAGTGAGTGCCAGTCGATACTTGCACTTTTATTTACCAAATTACAGAGCAGACTGCTTAAGGGGATCTCGGATGTGACGAATTTCCGTTGTGAAGAACAGTATGTTTATCCCAATCAGTTTTCCTGACTTGAAATCTTATCTGGATATGGGGAATTTTTGATAAATATTTTTTAGGTCCCAGGCGAGTTCTCCTTATCAGGTCTGTGCCTTATTTCGGTGGCTGCATTGATTGGCCAAGGAATAATGCATAGATAATATAATACCTTTTATATAAGGCTTTATGCATTCTTAAAGAGAGAGGTGAAGAGAAAGTGGCTGTATAGTTTTGTATGTAGACTTATCTACAGAAATGTCTGTATGTTTCTTTGGATGGCAGCACCTGAATCTATTGTTACATGTTGTGTTTATGTTAAGTTTTTATATAATACATATATTAGACAAACATGTTTAGCAACTTTTAAAAAAGATATATTGTTTCTTACACAGATGTTTATACAGAGTTGGTGTTAAAAACTGGCATGTTCTTTGTTTTGTTTAGTTTACTGAAATGAAAAATTGGCTACTGGTTAATTTAACATCTTTGTGGTCACTTCTGTCATATTTTTATAATTCAACACACTTTAGTTTTGTATTCTGACCTTTTTAAAGTCGTTTTAACACGCGCAAAATAAACATCTAAAAATTGTAGTAGTTATACAGAATTGCACTTTCACTATTAAATAATGATTTAGAAGAATGTATAGAGGGATATAATTTTGTATATTGCACCATCTGGTATATATTGTGTTTTTTATGCGACTTGGTTGGTTTATATCTGATAATTTATGTTGAACTTTGTCTGTGCCGCATGTTTTGATGAGTTACCTTATTAAAGAAAATGTATAAGGAAAATTCCCTTCCAAAGTGTTTCAGTTTGTTCCTGGATAAATAGTTTTGGCAAGGTATTTGCTTTCCATCTTTTGACTTTTTTGCCCCAGATATTTCTTACTTTAAGTAGTAAGCTATGTGAGAAGTGACACACTGACTGGTTCTGCACTATTTGTTGGTAAATTGATGCATGACAAGCCAGATATTATCAAACTGGTTCTGCACTGTTTGGTAAATTGATGCATGACAAGCCAGATATCATCAAACTGGTTCTGCACTGTTTGGTAAATTGATGCATGACAAGCCAGATATCATCAAACTGGTTCTGCACTATTTGTTGGTAAATTGATGAATGACAAGCCAGATATCATCAAATTGGTTCTGCACTGTTTGGTAAATTGATGCATGACAAGCCAGATATCATCAAACTGGTTCTGCACTGTTTGGTGGTAAACTGATGCATGACAAGCCAGATATCATCAAACTGGTTCTGCACTGTTTGGTAAATTGATGCATGACAAGCCAGATATCATCAAACTGGTTCTGCACTGTTTGGTAAATTGATGCATGACAAGCCAGATATCATCAAACTGGTTCTGCACTGTTTGGTGGTAAACTGATGCATGACAAGCCAGATATCATCAAACTGGTTCTGCACTGTTTGGTAAATTGATGCATGACAAGCCAGATATCATCAAATTGGTTCTGCACTATTTGGTGGTAAATTGATGAATGACAAGCCAGATATCATCAAACTGGTTCTGCACTGTTTGGTAAATTGATGCATGACAAGCCAGATATCATCAAACTGGTTCTGCACTGTTTGGTGGTAAACTGATGCATGACAAGCCAGATATCATCAAACTGGTTCTGCACTGTTTGGTAAATTGATGCATGACAAGCCAGATATCATCAAATTGGTTCTGCACTATTTGTTGGTAAATTGATGAATGACAAGCCAGATATCATCAAATTGGTTCTGCACTGTTTGGTAAATTGATGCATGACAAGCCAGATATCATCAAACTGGTTCTGCACTGTTTGGTGGTAAACTGATGCATGACAAGCCAGATATCATCAAACTGGTTCTGCACTGTTTGGTAAATTGATGCATGACAAGCCAGATATCATCAAATTGGTTCTGCACTATTTGGTGGTAAATTGATGAATGACAAGCCAGATATCATCAAACTGGTTCTGCACTATTTGGTGGTAAATTGATGAATGACAAGCCAGATATCATCAAACTGGTTCTGCACTATTTGGTGGTAAATTGATGCATGACAAGCCAGATATCAAATTGGTTCTGCACTATTTGGTGGTAAATTGATGAATGACAAGCCAGATATCATCAGGGCTCTTGGGGAGGAAGTGAACAGTGTGGATGCACAAATAGATCTTTACAGTCTGAAGAGAATGGTGCTGCAGGGAGTGGCCGACGCTCCACAATCAGAGGAAAGGCAAGACGGCATACAGTCAGACTACTGCTAGTGACAGTGGAATTGGAACTGCACTGGCTGCTGAGTATGGGGACTGGGCACTTGTGGGGTGTGATATATATGCTTTAAATGCAAAGCCATATAGCTGATTTCTTTTTCCCTTTCTCTGACTCTTAATTGTCACTTGTTGAAATGTGAAATTTTTTTTTTTAATGTGGTCAGTTAGATTTATTGTGATCAACCGTGGAAAAATAAAACCAAGTATTTGAATATCTTGGCCCTATAACTAAAAACGGGGAACTGTTTATACAAAGTCAGGAGACATTAGCCGATGCAATGCAGAAGAAAAACAACATTAAGAACAGTATTACCAAAGAAATTAAACATTTTGAGAACATGCATCTTTTCTGTCTTGATCATTAAATAACAAAAGAAAACAGGTATAAATGTTTCTTGAAAAACTCTTAGAATGTCATAGCTGACAATATCTATAATTAAAAATAAAAACTGGCTTCTTCTTTTTGTTTGCTTGAAATAAATTATCTATATCTGCAATATGAACTTCACTGTCTTTTGTGTCACTTTAAAAAATAGCTGATAAATAGCATCTTGTCTCCGAAAGTGAATTGTTTTGTCTATACTAAATATCATAATGGCATTGACGTAACATAAGGTATGCTAAGAAAAGACGGGTCGACCAATACACGGTAGACA